TTTGAAAATGAAACGACATTACTTTCGGGACAACCTGATACTTACATCTCACTATATTAATTGTCCGGAGACCCTCCATCAAGTCCCTTTATCTTCTAATTGAGCTGAATATATCTTAAGCGAAAATCAAACCACGTTTGTACATGATACCTACAAACTAGTGGTGTTTCGCAAAAGCAATTTTTGATGATTAACTTTGATGACTCATTCATCAATTTTTTTTCAAGATCCGCAAATCTGGCAGCTCCTATATGGAAAGCGTACACTTTGTGACTCAATCATGTCCAAGATTGCTGTTATTGAGTCCAAGTGGCTCGCCAATGTCAAAGGCTGGATTTGAAAGCTTTTCATAAAACATTGGATGAGTCAGAGTTTGAAACGTGCTCAAGTTTAGTTGACATATGAGCTTCGCCAGCATGCAGATGATCCAGATACGGGAAAGACAAAACTTCAACATTCATAGCAACGTTTTCTCCTGCACTTTTTTGTCCAATAACTTTTCAAACTCGTGTAGATGTCTGATCGTATAAATAACCGCATTCACCTTCTCGAATTAAGCTGTTGTAAATTTAAACATGAATAAATATCCGGTTGAATGAAATATTCACTATTTATCTGAAGAAACGTTCCTGGTCAGGGAAATGAAACACTGCGTTCAAACTTTGTCCTTTGGGTGTAATGAATGATTTCGGGAAGGCGTTTGGCTTTGTTAGTCTTCTACAGATTATGGAAGAACCTTCAGACTTTCTAACTTTGACCTTTGTATCTTTTACAATATTAAGCTATTATTTCAAGGTAGGAGGGGGCCGAAGAAATCTACCGCGTATATACGATTCTTTACTCTTGTTATCACTTTATTGGAAGATAGTTTTTATGAAAAAAATTTCGAGGTTTGCGGATCCTCTATTCATTTGCACCTAAATGCCTAACATCTACAAGAGATATGTATCTATTTCTTCTAATTGAAGAGCTACCGCAGTGATACACACAATAGCTAATCTTCCTTATTCACGCAGTGAGGAAACTTCAAGAAATGGTATTTTTGACATTTATTATTAACGTGAACTTATTATTGTAATATTTAACGAACAAACAATATTCTCAAATCATTCATGAGATGACGAAAATTATTACGAGGCAATGTAATAATCATGCATTAGAAAACACACTATGTACAAAATAATGCACGCAACCTCGGCCGAAGTACACAGTATCAAATGTGGGGATCAATCAGAACTCGAACAACACTAAACAAAATCAAGAGATATGACAACACGTTTCGAAGGGAGTGTTATTCAATGACAGCAGTGATCACGAAGAAAGACGAACAAATAACCCACTTAATGGGTAATGAAAGAGTTGTAGATGACTGATTCAGAAAGGACCAGTAGAGCTAGAAAATAAGTGAAATTTGTCTGATCATCCTTGAATGTTGAAGAGGGAGGGTGGGAACGTGCATAGAGAGTTTTCGACCGGTGCGACTATGTTCAGAAGACGTGAGATCCCGTTGACAAGTCCCTTCTTTTCGAGTACTGCATTCACCTCGCTCTCGTAGCGCTAAAAAAGAATTGTTTATGAACTCAAATCTGCACAAACCTGTATACTTAGATATTATTAGGAAGAGTAAAAAGAAGTTGAAATTTCCCTGAGTGTGAAATATCTCAATAGCGTTCAACACAGGCTGCACTCAGAGTTGCCTGTAGCAGCGCCGACCACTGCCGTGCCAGCGCCGTTGTTGATCAATAGGAATTCTCCACGTGGGCGTTGGCACGGCGCTGACACGGCATTGACACGTCGCTATTTAGGCGCAGATGGGGTCAAAGAAAATACGAAACTAAATTCTGGCTTTTGCTTGGATTTTACTAGCTCTCTAGTTCCGAAGCGTCTGTGCAAAATAAGCTTACCCTCTAATAAGCGTGAACGAAAACTCCTACTCATCTAACAAAGTTGGCAAGTTTATAGTATAAAACAAAGCCAGAAAATCTTTGCTTCCGCCAAGGTTAAGATTAATTTCGGGCGCTCACAACTGTATTCCAACTTCCGCGTTAAATTTACGAAAAAAAGTTCTTTGTTTAAAAGTCATTTTGAAAATCAATGTAGCAAACAAAGAGGGTATACAAGTTTCTAGAAATAGTCAAACTCTTACCTGCTTGTACATGTTTGGATCTCTTGCAAATACATACAGGGGGAAATTGCAATTTGTAGACATGATGACATATTCGTACTCATCATTCGAATTCAATGGTCCCAGATGTAAAACATGCACTGAAACGGAATAGTTTATTGTTCGAACTATCGGGCAAAAATGTTTGAGTCACACATCCGGAGGACCAGTTCTATGGTCACGTTTTCCCGCAATTCATCTGACCCATCTGACCTACATCAGTAGACCGGATTACTTTTGAGTGACCAGTGGGAGTGAGGAAAGTGTTAGCAAATACAGAAAGTGGGGGGGG